GTGTTCCTATATGAAGAACAATTTGCCTTTTAACCCGAGAGAGAACAGCCAGGATGATTTTGCAAATACAACAGGGGAGGCTCTCTGGCACAGTGGGATAAACTGCCACCTGTAATGCTGGCATAAGTATCTGAGTGCCAGATCAAATCTTGGTTGTTCTACTTCTGATCAAGCTTTCTGCTGATAAACCTAGGAAGTTAATGGATTACATGGGTCCATGCCACATATATGGGTGGGAGACTAGGACAGGGTTCTTCGCTCCTTGTTTCGGCCTGGCCCAGATCTACTTGCTGTGGCCATTTCATGGGAAAATCAGCAGTTGGAAGATTTTTCTACCTCTTAAATAAATATACAGATAAATCCTTAAAGACTGTAAAATTAAAAATGGTCCACTTAGATATTTTCAGAAATAGGGTGCATGCTCTTCTCATATATGAGTAGATTCTTCTCCCTATAAATAATAGGATCTACTAATTACGAATTTGTCAATATTTATTATACTTCTGGGAAGTGTAGAAGTGCAGATTATTGGAAAAGAAAACTATTGTAACAATTATAGACAGGGACTGAAGAAAATTAGGCACACAGAAATTCAATAAATTGTTTCTTTATATAATTTATATATATAATCTCCATTATAGTACATGATATTGTTATCACAATTTCTAGAATGGTGAAAACCTAGTTTATCATTGTCTTCCTAGCCCCTAACAAAGTAACAAAAACTGTAGGAACTATCTGATGATTATTTATTGGCTCACTGATAGATTTTCACAAAGAACCCAGTTGCCAGAAAATATTTTGATTCAATTCTAGGCCAAGAGCCTAAAACCAATTTATAGAAGATGTATTTGTTAAAGTCAAGAATGAGGTTCTAAATTGCTCTTTTTATCCAAGTTAGTTAAAAGGGGAACAAAAAGCTTCTAAAAATCAGATCTTTAAATTAGCACAGGAAAATGCTATGAGGCAAAGCATTCTTTCATTCATTCCCCAAACATTTACTGAGTATGCAAGACCCAAACACAGGGTGTGCAAATGGTGAAGGCTCAGATGTGAAATCGCAAACAGAGGTAAGCAACACTGAGAAAAAGGGGCATATCCAAGAGGACAGTGGTCAAGCAGCCAGGGCTTTGGGACTCTCTGGAAGCTTGCCTTGGGTATATAGGTGGCAATTAATACAGGAAATTGATCTGGTGCTACCTGTTCTTGGTGAACGAAGGGTTTGGCATTTCCAAGAAAGGAACTAGGGATCACTGCAGAAAGGTTTACTAGTGCTACATGTGAAAGATGGTGACCTGAAGTTCGATGGTGGTGGTCGAAAGGATGGAAAAAGAATCTATTATGATATATTTAGAGATCCCAATAGAAGACAGAGTTTATATGACACTGTGATATTTTTGGGTATGGAGAAGGAGATAGAAATGTCCAAGATAATTCTTGGATTTCTGGCTAAAGTAATTCTATAGTATCCTTTATTATTATAATATTAATTTTAAAATGCTATCTTGAGGGCTCAAAAAAAGGAACAAAGAAAAGAAGGAAAGAAAGGAAGGAAGGAAGGAAGGCAAAGTGGGAGTGAGGAAAACAATACCACATTCTCTGAATTATGTCTATGAATTACATTGAATCTACCCTTTGTATTAATATTATATTAACATGGAAATATCAGAAGAAAGACTAGGAAGTGTAAGTGTAAGGATATCTTTGTTGCTGTTATTGTCATTATTATTATTATTATTTGCTTATTTTTCCATGTGTTGGTAGAATAACCAAACAACAAACAAAACAAAACAAACAAACAAAAAAACCAGGCAGGCAACCTCAGTAAGTCAGTTCTGGAAAAGTTACATTTGACAACCCTGTAGAAGACCCAGCATTAGATTCTCTTGCTTTACAGATACACTGCGTGCATCAGAGTACTTCAAAATGCTCATGGATAAGTGGCATTATAATCTGTATATTTTGGGGCAAAACATTTTTTGAAATCCAAGTACAATTCTCATAATATGAATTTCCCATAACCATGTTTTTGTTTGAGATACACAGAAGGAGGGAGAGAAAGAATGAGCCCTGCTCCACTGGTTCCCTCCCCAGATGCTTCAAATGGCTACATCAAAGCTGTGACCTGGCATTTCTATACTGCTCTCCCATTGTGGCTGGTGGAGACCCAAGGTTGGAGGCATCACTGTCTGCCACCCAGAACTCGTATTAACAGGAAGTCTGAGAAAGGGGCAGACTCAGAAAACTGTGGACATTTTGAAGACATTTCTATTCATGAATACCAGAAAGTTTCCCTAAATAAGTCTTGTCATTCCATTTTTCACAAACGTATTGAAGTACCATTGTGTAAGTGAGAGACCTTTGAGTAGGGCATTCTCTAACATAGTTGGTAATATACACCCTTGAAAAGATTAATTGGTGTTGATATATGCCTTGTTAGAGTTATAACCCAGTTTAGACTATCTTAAAATCGGCCAAGTTCAGCAAAATTATGCTTCAACACTATAAACTGCTAAATACTAAAATGAAAATAGACACGAGACAGCTGAATAGTACCCTATAGCTACTTTAAGGTGTATAGAAGCCGATTGTATATAAACTAAAATTGAAATGTCAATGAAGTAGTTATAAGATGTGGTAAAGAACTTGCATTTTTGTTAACATGTTGGTTACTCAATACCATATCAATTAATTCCATAATGTTGTAAATTATCATTAATGTTGTTGTAGCTTTAAATTGATTGGGATGATATTCTGCCAATTCTGCCTTCAGACCAGAAATGGTCTCCCCAAGAAACCACTGAATTTACCTGGACAATAAGATGTTGGACTCTATGCTTGGTATATGCTTGCAATGAAAGAATCTTGACTGAATTTGAACTGTAATACTGCAACAAGGTAGAGGAATCCACCATGGGGGAAGGGCATGGGGAGGAGTTGGGGAATCCCAGAGCCTATGAAACTGTGTCACATAATGCAATGTAATTAATTTTTAAAAATATAAAACAAAAAAAGAGAAAAGATTAATTGGATTAACCGATCTTTAGTTTTTCTCTAAGCCAATGCTGTTCCGTTCGTTCTGCTCTTATGCTGGCACCATTCTGTTGGTGGGATTACTCACAGTTCTTAGGGAAGTTGCTGTGATGGTCCCGGAAGCATCCCCCAAATACTCATGTTTACCCAGATGCTGCTTGGAAACCAGTTTCTCATAGAAGTAAGCAAAAGGTGGCTATACTGACTTTGAGTACACCCTAAATTCCTATGAATGTTGTCCTGACATAAAGAGGCATTGCTTGTCGCCTGAGGGCAGAGAATATGTTGTGCAAGATGCAGGCAGGCATGAGGTTACACACCAAACCTTCAAGTGGCAAAGCAAGAACCTGACAGACCTGAGCAGAGGAACCACCTGCAAGTCAAACTCACCAGACCACAAGCTGTGGGGTGTGAGCACAATCAGTATGGACTCACAGAGGGACACTGGCTAGTTCTATCAACTGACTCGCCAACAGCAGCCCTCCCGGGTTGCACACATGTATTGCAAGCCAAAGTAGACTCATTGGACTAGACATTTTTGGTTTTAATTTACTCAAATGCATGGTCCTCATATGGCCTCCATATCATTTTGAGGACATGAACTCTTTCTTGCCACCTAACAAGACCATAAAAGTGAGGGGCAGAAGAAAGTGTCTCTAAGCTTAGTATTCACAGATGGTTGCCCTTTATATCATAAAGCAAAAAATATACAAAGCATGTTCTTAATTTACCTTTCCTCCCCAACTCTGGGACTTGTGCTGCTGGGTAGAAGTGTAAGGTGCTGTCGCTGTTGTGAAAGTATCAGTGTGAAGAGACTCCTACTGGGGGGTGGGGAGAGGCGCTCCTGAAGGCATCCCATCCATCTGGGCTCAGGTAAGAGAGAGTATGTGGCACTCAATCCAGGAAAAAATATACATATATATGGGCAGACAGATTCTGTGCGTTCCCCAAGATCCTGGCTATTTCTTGGTAGAACCCTTTGGGCTACCACATTTCCTGATTGCCCCTAAGGTACATTCAGCCTTCCAAACTTACATCAACTGCTAAGGACCACACTTTACTCTGGCCTTTGTGTCAATTTCTCATTTTCTTCATTACTATGGCCTCAGTGCTGATGCTTCAAATTCCCTTAATTAGTATCTGATGCTGACAAATGAACTCACATCTCGTGCTTAAATCCACAGCAGACACACACACAGGCATGGTTTGAGCAACAGCCATCACTTCTCCTCCAGACTGGGCACCGAGGGTCCCTAGACTTTTCAAGTTCACCCTCCAGGAAACTGACATCGCTCACAATGTCCACAAGAGTTTGGAACCGAGACCCTCGCCCTCACTCTGCCTACAGTAGAAGTTGTCTCTCTCTCTCCATTACAACCCACCACGCACGCACACAAGACACACGGAGGCAAAAAACAAAGAGAAACACAGCCGCACATAAGGCTCAGCTATTGCTTCTTCCAGCACACACCTGCCCAAAGACAAAAACCATATGGGAACCCTGCCCTATCAATATGTCCAACACTCCCTGGGAGAAGCAGGAGCCTGGCAGACCAGGCGTGCGCCTCTGTGTACACAAAGAACCGGTGCGGGGCTGGCTAGCGGCTCTGGGTACCAGCGCGCTTCTAAGGGCTGGTTTCCCGGTTTCTCTCCCCCATGCCCTTCCGCCCAGCATTAATGAACTACCCTTTATTTGACCCACGGAAAGCTCCCGGGTGGGGGAGGTAAAGCACGGGCAGGGGACTGGGGGTGGGCGGTCCTCGGACCCCTCCCCTCCATCCAGCCTGTGGGTCCCTAGCCTTTGGCACCTTCTCGGAGATGCACAATCGCGCTGTCACAGAGGTTCGCTCTGCATCCTTTCACCGGGCAAGGCAGGATGGCCCGGGTACCAGCTGTGCGCATCCCCGCCAGCGCCCCTCCTCGCGCCGTTCTCCACCCGGACAGCCTTGCCAGGCGCGTCTGCTTACCTGGCGGCCGGCTGTCAGCGAAGCAGAGGTGCCTCATTCCCATCTCCGCAGCAGCTCCATCGCTCTGAGCGCCATGTTCCCGGTCTCCCCGAGCGCACGCTGGGGAACTACTACGGGCTGGGTAGGGGCGAGGGGGGCGGGGGCCGGAGGAAGGGGGGGTGGGAGGCAGAGGCAAGGCTTTCTACTCTCCACCCGAACCTCCCCCAGCTACTGAGCATGCCCAGCTGCCGGGCTTGGCTCCCAGGAAGGCTGTCCACGAGCGCACGCAGCTGCTCCGGGTTTTCGCAGCAGCCGGCTGGAGGCAGACCGTGGCCGCTGCGGGAGGTAGGGCAGGGGTTGGGGGTGCGGAAAGAGGGGAGTGTCTGCACTGGAGAGCTGGAGAGGGCAGCCAATCCAATCCTACTTTCTTTGGCTTTCCCGCGGGGGCAACTCCTGCACGCCCCTCCCACACGCAGGAGGTTTGCAGAAATGCTGGGCAGGTCCGTTGCAGGGCTGAGCTTAGCTTTAGAGACCCAAAGAGCTGGGGAGGAGGAAGAGGGGCTGAGCGACAGATCCGTAAACCGCTTCCTGGCCACCACCTGGGCTGGCGCTTTCTTCAACTTCAATGTGCCCAGGAATTACACTGCAGGTTCCAGTTCACTTGACAGAGGCAGAAGGATCTGCAAGTCCAACAGCATCTAGAGCACCTGCCTGTGACCTCTGACTGGCCAGTGCTTCCGTCAGCTGCCCAGCCCTGGCTCCGGAGTCCACAGCAGGGGCCCTTCTTGCCTTCAGGTGGCTGAGGCCACCTGACTACGTTCTGTCTAGGGGCAGGTGGTTCTGGTCTCTTGTAGGCGCACTTTGCTGATGAGTTAGTAAACTGCTCCACTCATCCAAACCAGTCAGGCTTGGCTATCCACTTGCCTTTCCTAAACTGGGACAAAACAACATGGACGAGAGAATGTCCATTTATCATAATGTTTAATGTCAAAGCTGGCTTTGACCAGTAAGAAGCTCAACAGGGCATTTTGGTCTAGGACATGACAGCTCTTTCAGCTCATTGACAGCAGGGCTAAAGATTAAATGATCTTATGATTCAACTTAGATCCTCCAGTTGTTACTCCCCCGGCCCCATATCAGGGAAGGTTCCTAGAATTCTCAACAATGTTTGCTGCTGAGTGGAAGGTGAGGGGAAAATCACAGACCAGTCACAGAAAATCTCACAACCTTGCCTGTCTCTGTCACTTCAGCAGCACACCTGGAAGCTGGTGCACACATTACCATAACTAGCTAGCAGTTTGCAAAATAACAGGCTACACAAGTGCTTTTCTTTCCCCAACATCTGTTAAGTGTAAAAGAGAACCATGTCCAAGTTGGTCATGCTCTATTTTTCCAATAAAAGGGTGGGATATTTAAATTCATCTCTTTGTTCTTTCAAAGTTGCATATGTGATTGTGACTCCCCAACCAACCATCCTCATTGCCGCACCCATAATTATTTGCATAAGCATCTCAGTTGTGGTCACACAAATGCAAACGCTGGCAACTACTGCAATATGGTTTACTTATGATTGGATGATATCAGTTAGAATTGTGACATGTATACACAGATTCTTCCTCTGATACTTGAGGTATGGTCTCTATTGGCAAAATCTGTAATTTCAGTTAGAAAAAAATTACTCTGAGGTAGTAATTAAACTGTATTTTCAATAAAATAGCACTATCAATTCATCAGTATTTCATGAGAAACTATTCTCAACCTACGTGGTTAACATCAAAAACTGTGAAAAGATACAGTTGAGGGGTAGTGAGCTTAGTAGACTGGAGGTGGGGACTGTCCAGACAGCCAATGGGATCAACGTTTAGATTTCCCTAACTGACCGGCTCTGTTCTCATAGATGCTAATCAGCAGTAAGAAGCTGGCATCCCCGAATTGAGTCACAGTTGCAATGGAACCAAATGGATTCTGGAAACGAATAGGACATTTGCTAAAATAGCAATGGCAGGGGGAGGAAATGAATGTTTCAAGAAACATAAACAACACAGCAAATGAAAAATATACATGTGAAAAATTATTCCCAGAAGCAGAAGGAAGGTTCAAATATTATCCCCCAGATTCAAAGAAATTAAAGACAATATAATCTACTTGTTATAAGCACCATCAGGGAAACACAAGGATTTAAATACGAAATAATCATACTAAAATGGAGAGAAACCAACAGAGCTGGAGTAAAATCATTAAGCCACTCAAAACAAACAAACAAACAAACAAATAGGAAAGATGTCTGCCCTGGTGGTTAGGACACAAGTCAGCATGTAGAGGACATGGAGTCCTGGCTCTTGGCATTGGGCAGGCCTCGCCTGGGCTGCTCTGGGTATCTGGGGAGTGAAACACCAAATGTAAGTATTCTCTCTGCGATTCTCCCTCTGTTGCTCTACCTTTCAAATTAATTAATAAAGAAAAAGAAACCCCCCCCTTTTTTTTTAATATCCTTAAACCTGCAATTGTTTGGTGTGAAAATGGACTCAGTTCTGAATAACTAACCCGAACATGTACTACGAAGAGGTCAGGGAACCTCAAAGGCAGATAATGCTTGGTATAATCAGGCAGAAAAGGCAATGTTCTTATTTTTAAAAAGACAGAGAGGGAGACAGAAAGATCAAACTACGTTTAGATTTCTTCACGGCCTCAAGCAGTCCAGTCGAGGTGTTCTGGAATGTCTCTCCCATGGCTGGTCTTCAGATTTTCAAGGCAACAGTTAATTGTTCTCAAACATACTATTAGTCAGGAGTTACAGCAGACAGAAACCTTTACAAAACTTTATTTCATTGTGAAATTCAGACTACAAAGAGATACTTTAAAAAAAGCAAATCTCTCTAACTCTGGTCAAGTGCTGTGTGAGCATACCCACCTGAACTAGAAGACCAAAAATCTGTGAGGTTTCAGAACACATCATAGATGTTCTCAACCTTGGCAATGTAAATATTATTGTGTAACCCACTAAAATCAACAGGTTGTAAGATGGCAGTTGTGACTGGTTTCTTTGCTTTAAAAGATTGATTTTACTTATTTGAAAGGCAGAGTTCCAGAGAGAGGGAAACATATGGAGATCTTGCATCTGCTGGCTCACACCCTAAATACCTGCAAAAGTCTAGGCTGGGCGAAACTGACACCAGGACTGAAAAGTTGGTCCAACCCCAAGCACTTGGGCCATTTTCCATTGCTTTCCCAGCAGAGCAGACGGGACTCAAACTGCTCCCATGCGGAAAGCCGTCACGGCATATGGTAGCTTGAGTGCCACTGCACTGGCCCCATGAAGAGGTTTTAAGGACAATGATTTTCCTTAGCAAGAGATCAATGTATGTTATTAAAGTTGAATTATTAAAATAAATAAATCTATCTCCAATTGCATAATGCTATTTCACAGTTTCCTTTTCTTATCTGTAAGGAGTCACTCTGCAAATTTACTTGCTTGCTCTTCAAAAGCATTTTTTTTTTGAAGTTTGAAGTTAGTGCAGGAAAAGCTAACTTCTTTTTGATTCATTTAATTTAAATAAAGTGTAATTGAGTTTTAAAGTAATATGTGTGCATGGTCCATATATTCAAGAGCATTTTGGTCAATTCATGCTAATTGTAATAACCTTGCATTTTTTAATCTCTGTACAAGAAGATTTATGTAGTTGCTGAGCAACAATTTTGATGGGAAGAATTGTGATGCTTGAAATTTTTAAAATGATTGTATATTCTTTGAAATGAATCATGCTTTCAAAATATCTCAAAATATTGTTTCTTATCATGACTTTTAACACTAGAGGATGTGATATGGAATGAAAATAGATAATTAAAATAAGCATGAATAAAAATGATTCATTTAGATTAGAAATAATGAGAATTCATGAGTTACTAGAAACAGTAATGAAATAGTGGACATAACCGCAGCCCTAAAATGGAATAAGAATTAATATTACTGACATAATCTCCTCCATAAAATAAAAAAATGAATACTTTCTATCTCTTCTTATAAGGCCAGAATTACACTAATATCCAAACAAACAGAAACCTCATAGGGTTAGTGTTAGGTTTTTTGTAGTAGTTTTTTTTTTTTTTGTAGTAGGTTTTTTGTAGGAAACTACAAAGATATGTCTTATCAATTTATTTCCAAAAATCCTCAAATTGAATAAATGATTGAATCATCTTGAAGTTTAATATTGCTTTTTAAAAAAAGGAATCAAAGACTATTGTCAAGTGATGTTTATCGCAAGAATATAGGACTGGTTTAATATTAAAAGTTAATTCGCACAGTGCGTTAAGCTGCAGTGTGAGACACTTGCATGCCACAGCAGAGTGCCTGATCCTCATCTCAGTTACACACTTCTGAACCAACTTCCTGCTAATGTGCCTTGGAGGCAGCAGATAGCAACCCAAGTAACTTGAGTCCAGGGCCCATGTGGAAGACCCTACAGCCCACGCAGGAGTTCCTGGCTTCTGCTGTGGCATTTTGAGAAGTGAGTCAATCTCTGACTATCAAATTCACTAGCGTTTTTTGAAAAAAAAAAAAAGTGGTTTGTGTTTTTTAAATATCTATTCAATTAACTAAACTAAAAACTCTTAAGTATATGTATAATCACATCAATAGAAAGAGATAAATTGCTTCCTGAAATCCAACACACTTGTATGAATAAAAATCTCAGAAAATTAGGAACAAAGAGAAATCACCTCGATTTGATTAAAAAAAAAAAGTTTGCAAAATTCCCAGCTAGGTGTTAGTGCGGTAGTGCAACAAGCTAACTCCCCTCCCTGTGATGCCAGCATCCCGTGTGGGTGCTGTCTTGTGTCCCACCTGCTCCACTTTTGATCCAACTCCTTGCTAATGGCCTGGGAAAGCAGCGGAGGATGACATCCTTCTCTCTGCAAAACCTACCTCTAAAATGAAAATAAATAAACCTTTAAAAGAATTCTCACTGGACCCAGCACGGTAGCCGAGCTGCTAAAGTCCTCTCCTTGCAAGTCCAGGTTCCATATGGGCGCTGGTTCTTAATCCTGGCAGCCCCATTTCCCATCCTCCTCCCTGCTTGTGCCCTGAGAAAGCAGTCGAGGACAGCTCAAAGTCTTGGCACCCTGCACCCACGTGGGAGACCCAGAAGAAGCCCCTGGCTCTTGGCTTTGGATCAGCTCAGCTCCAGCCATTGTGGCCACCTGGGGAGTGAACCAATGGATGGAAGATCTTCCTCTCTGTTTCTTCTTCCTCTCTGTATCTGACTTCTCACTAACATCAAACTTAACAGTGAAACACTAACTGTTCTTCCCTATGATGTGATACAAGGCAAACATGATATTCTT